TTAAATTTAAAGAGTGTTCGAAAAGCTTTGTGTTCGATTGTAGAATAGTAAAATCCTGAGGATGGCCTATTAGAAATAGGCTGAAAACGTTTGAGTATTAAATTAATAGTAAGCTCAGCAAGTGTTTGGTGTTTGATTATATTTGTAAGTAAACGGCTGAGTTAGTGAGGATAGTTACAAATAATGTTTCTTAGAAGGCAGCGCGGTTTTGATGCAATCTCTACCGAAAAAGTAATTTAAAAAGAGAGATCTGTTTAAATATGGACATGTTTCCAAACTAATAGAAATTTCCTTGGAGAAGAATACAGATCCAAATGTGAATCAAGGAGCGAATCAATTATCATTACTGGAGAAGCTGTTTCCTAAATCAGTGTTTCTAAGAAACCCTACCATGTTGAAATTAAGGTATTTCTTTTTCTTTCAATATTTGCATAGTTATCAATACGAGAATGAATAACATGCATTTACAATTAGAAACAAGTAATGATACAAGGCGATTCCATTTGTGTCATGTAATCAAATTAAAAAATTGAAGTTTTAATTTTGGTTTTTTTGAAGTCATTTTATAATGTATACATATTTAAATAATTTGCTAACAATTTAATCACAATAAATTTATAAAGCAACAAATAATCAAGTACTTTAGTGGAACACATAATATGAGTGTCTACCATGAACCTGACACATTTGAAACTGTTGTAAAAAATCTACTGCTCAGTAAGAATGTAAAGTAATGACATTTTATGATAAAAAAACTCAAAAAGTTTTATTAAAAAAATCAGTGAACCTCTACATGAGCTCCTTTTGTTGTACGTAGAACATCGAGTCTATACTCCATTTCCTGCCAGGTTCTTTCAAGCATCTCGGACGTGACGGCAGCAACAGCATCGTGAATGCACACACGAAGATATTGAAGGTCACGAATTTTTACACCGGTGTAAACCTTGTCTTTGACAAATCCCCAAAAGAAAAAGTCTAAGGGCGTAATATCCGGCGTCGAGGAAGCCACGGTATCGGTCCTCCGCGCCCAATTCAGCAATAGGGAAACTGTGTGTCGAGGAAACGTTGAACATGCAGGCTCCAGTGTAGAGGGGCACCTTCCTGCTGGAAATTAAATCTGCTAAATAGCGGAATTTATTTCAGCATACCACCACACAGATTGCGCACGCTCTTGTGAAGAAGCCATTTTGCGTTTGACTACTGCCATGCCACCTACAGTCACTTTGGCAAGTTTCAAAATTACCTATACAACTTTCACAGTTTCTCCGTCTAATGGAATGCACGACATCTGATTACTGCCTTGCACTTCGATATGGCAGTCAAAACAAATGTGTCAGGTTCATGGTGGACACCATGTATAATGTTTTTAATGCTTTTTTACCAGGGTATTGTTCATTCGGGAACGAATAAAACTTTGTACCTGGCGGTGCAGTAGTATAGGTAACACTACAACTGACTACACAACAGTTATTTTTTGAAGTTTTGTGTGGCAGAAAGCTATGGTTCATTATCACAGGAAGAAAATAAGCACCGCGTTTCGGTACGAATCCAACCCAAAGATACACGTGTCTTCCCGAAGCAATTTTCTTTGCCTGCGTACAGGTGGCGCTCAACTCAGTTCCACTAGCTCTATAAATAAGAAAGTACAAACCCCGGGTATTCATATCTTTACTACAACCTATTTCTTATATCTTCCATTTTCTGATAATTTTCCCTCCTTATTTTTAAGTTAGTACCTAAGGCTAGTTTTATTTTCGGTTTATCAATTATTGTCGCGATCGGCATCTGTGATTAGTGTCTGACGAATTATTGTTCAAGCGGTATCACTGTATGTTCTTGTACAGTACATTATCGTGAAGTTGGAATCCAATACTAAAAACCTGTATCAACACACAAAATAAATTGCTGTATAGTTACACTGTTGTATTTTCATTGTAAAGTAATCCCTTTGTCGGTGTATACACCAAGAAACCTTAAATGCGAAATTAGGGAGTTAACCGACTCGGTTAAGCGGTTACTAGATACACACGAAAAGCCTATCAGAACCCAAAGGAGGACGTGTTTTATATGTGGCGATCTCGCATTGCAAAAGATTGCCCAAAACGACAACAGAGGACGTTAAACTGGTAACGGAGCATGATGAGAGTCAGTGTTAGGCCCCTGATGCTATAATAAAGCAGACTCCGGAAGAAATCATCTCGGAAAAGGGTCTTCCTCTTGTCGAGCGCTACTCTTCGGTAATACGATAAAGTTTCTTCTCGACACTGCGGCTGAAAAATCTTTGTGCAACCTGGCTGCTCTGGAAACAATGCATAATAATGTTCTAGCAAAGATCGAATTAGAGCAGGCCTGACCAACCCAAATTGTTGCGCGGGCCACTTTGATCACGCGTAATATTACGGTGGGCCACAATTTAGGCAAACATGCTTTTAAAAAAGTAAAACAAATAAAAAAATGAATAAGATTTTATTGTTATACCAAGAATTCGTACTCGCACTTGCGCATTATAACAATGACACATGCAAATTTTCATTTATTTAATTGTTTTGGTATACACATACGGGAAACAAAAGTTTTAATAGATATAAAATATCGCTTAACGGCAGTGGCGTACCGTGGATGTCAGCCGCCCGGGGCGGAGGAATATTTCGGCCCCCCCTTATTTAGGTATTTCAATTTAAAAGACCAAAATTCAGTTTTGTCATAGAACATGCAATGAAAAATTCAGTGGTAGTGCAGCGACCTGTTTAAAATAGTTCTATTAGACATTAGTGATGTATATGAACGCGAATGAATCGTACAAGCAAGAAAAAAAATAAAAAGGTCAACAGGTTTCGCAGGATTTCCTCGGATGAAAAAATCACTACTTCACCCGGACGACAAGCCGATTCCCGGACTGTCCGGACAATAGCACTATCGTAGGCGCGATGCAAGTATACACTAGGATGTTTCAAATTTTTACAAGATATAATTATTATTTATTGTGAAATTTTGCCGCCACCTAAATAGTGCCGCCTGGGGCGGACCGCCTCTGCCTCCCCCACGTACGATACGCTACTGTACCTTAGATTTTTCACACAAACCGACAGTAGAATCACAACGGCCTATTAACATGCATCAATATAGAATCCCGGAATGCTATCTTAAAGAGTTTAGGAAGTTAATTTTTTCCTATTTGGAGGCGAACATTATAGAAGAGAGCTCGTCCGAATGGAATTCACCTATACATATTATAGAGAAGGGTTCTGGTGAATTGTGTATGACCCTCGACCTCAGACGCATAAACGAAGTTACCTGCCCACAAGAATTTCCCCTTTCGTGCGTGGATGAAATTCTAAGTAGGTTCCATGGTAGTCAGTATTTTTCCGTCCTCAATCTGAAATCAGGATACTTCCAAATTCCGTTAGACACATTTACGCCTTCTCGACCCCTTGAGGGAAGTACCAAATGTGTCGCTTACCCCAGGGGGTAAAAATAGTGGGTGTTTCTTTCAGTATGTAATGTCAACCCTTTTAGGGCAGTTCATAGGCATAAACTGCTTTGTTTCCAAAACGACATAGTCCTTTTTTCCAGATCTATCGACGAACATTTAGAATTACTTGATAAAGTCCTTAACATATTAAATAAAGCTAATCTAAAACTACATCCAGACAAAAAGCAAACTTATTATGGAAGAGGTGTGTTACCTAGGTCACATCATCATCAGGAACATCATGAGGATAAAACTCCCGGATCCTGAAAATGTCCGCTCCATCCATGATGTCTGTCACCCCAAAATGTCAAAAGTGTACGTAGTTTTTTAGGTATGATTGGGTTTTCTAGAGAGCTTATCCCAAAATTTGCTGAGATAGCTTTTCCTTTAACAGAACTAACAAAAAAACGGAAGAAGTTTATTTGGGACGAGAGCTGCCAAAGAAATTTCAATAAATTTAAGACTATCCTCATGAACCCACTTTGAAACATACAACGTTAAGTCTATGGGGATAAACATGTCAGGTAATCGCACTTCATCTAGCAATTTAGTTTTTTTTTTTTAATCATTAGAACAACTCATTGCCCTATCTCTTATTCTGAATTCCTGCTTTTTTGCTAATTACACATGAATTAAAAGACTTTTTGCATTATTTTTTAACATTAATACAGTAGATTTAAACACTATAAACAGTAAAATAAAATTAATAATCACTTTTGTTATTGAACTAAACTATTTTAATTTTTTAGAATCTGTAATAGAAATGTATGTATTAGTAAAATAATTGCATGAACACATTGATCATATTTTAATTGAATAAAACTGTCAATTTCAATGGGTTCCTGCTAGTTATATTTTAATTACTGTTAAATATTGGATAAAAATGAAAAAGTTGTGTTAACATAAAGCAAGGGAATTAACAGAAAATAAATTCACACTTTAGAAATCAACTCCAGCAATGGATGTAAGGTGTGTGAATAAATTTCCTGACATTCCCTTCAGTTTCTGTATTTTGTTACAAACAATTAATTTTTCAATATAACAATATTAAATTTGTAATACAAAATACCATAATTAAAACACATACTTTCACAAGTAGCATCTTCTCCGGTCCAACTACCATTTTCTGCACAAAGCCGAATACTGCTACCAACCAGTTTATAACCTGGTTCACACCTAATGCCACAGGCAGCATTAAAAACATTATTACAGTAGTCATTTACAAAGAAACCATGTTTCGGAGGCTTTAAATGGGGACATTTCAAAACTAAAATAGAAATGATAAATCATTTAGTTTATAAACAATCTTAAGATTTTACATTTTTATAAATTTTACACACCTACACATTGTTTATTCACTTCTTGATAACCACTTTTGCATTTGCAATCAATGGGACTAGTACTTCCTGGTTCAGAATAATGATTTACATCAGGACATGGCAGACATGAGGATAAATCTCCAGGACCACTGTTATTCCAATAAGTTGCTGGCGGACAAGCTTTAAAACATATTAAAATTTCTTAAACAAACAAACACATTAGAAAATCATAAATTTAATTATGGCCACTTAATTATATTTTGATTCTCCACTTCCACTTGGTCTCTTTTTTAAATAACATACTGTATATTTATAATAAAAGATTTACTTTAAATACAAAAAATTGATAAAAAGTGGCATCACTCACTACAGATATATTCCTAAAGTAAAACTTTCCCAGAATTTTATGTTAGGAGTATTGATAGGACTGACATTAACTCAATTTGTACCTAATGTCCGTCCTATCCTCTTTATTATTAACAAGGTAAAATATTTATAACAGTTGTTTTTATCACAGAAGATTATTTTATATTTGATTTGGTATTGACAGGACCATTATGAATAATTTTCATGCCTGGGGCAAGCCCAAGAACAGTGCCAATGAACTTATATTTCTATAAACATTAATGCCTTTTTGATATCCCCTCCAATTTGGCTGCAAGATAGTTGCCTCTGCCTCATCTATTGCCATGACCCTGGGTATCGAATAAATGTTTTATGAGTGATATTCTGGTATAGTATTCTTAATATCTCACTCTCTGATAAAATACTCAATATATTCAAATATAAAAACTTCACAATGTTGGGAGCCTAAATCACATTAGCAAGTTTGAATCTGTAGAACACTCAACATGGATTGAATCCTAGGTAATCAATAGTGAATGGTTATTTTGTATTAGAAATTAAGAATGATTGCTAGTTGTCCAGCAAGCAACCAGCTGTAAACTTCTGGTTGTCATGTAATGTTTTTTTCTATGGGAAAATCCTTTTCCAAAAATTCTCGAAAATGGAAGCAGACAGAACGAATCTTTGCGTTAGAATCCTATTTAATTTGTCTATTAACGTATGGTTTAGAATTTTGAAAATCGAATTCGCTAATTTTCTGGAAATTTTTAAAGGCAGAAAATTTGTAGAAAACTAACGAATTTGACTTTCAAAATTCTGAATCCGTACGTTAATAGAAGAATTAAATGGTATTCTAGCGCAAAATATTATTTGGTTTTATCTACTTCCATTTTCAAGAATTTTTTGGACAGGTCAATGACATATAACTACTAGACCCCACAGCCGGAAGATTGAGCGGTCAAGGTGGTAGACTACTGTTCTGGGGAACCCGGGATCGAATCTGGACGGGTCGAGAAATTTTTCGGGAGGCGTCCGGATATGTCGGGTGCCTCCCTTCACCACACGGCCGCCCTATCGGGGCCGGGCCCAATCCATAATGGACTTGATAAAAGAGGCCCTCTTAGTGCCCACAGGGCATTACGAGTTAAAGAAAAAAAACCCGAATCAGTTAAAAGTTAACGTAGAAACTAGTGCCACCGTCTGAAACCAAAAAAAGTAGGCGCTGCCATGACAGTCTAAGGCAAAATGTGCATATGCTGAGCGCATTGTTGCATGCTGACTTAAGGTAGCTATTTCTGGTATAATTGCTATTTATTTAGATTATGGGAATTGTCACTGGAGGATAACAGGAATGCTACCGAGTTGCCGTGCAGTTAAGTACGGCAAGGTATAAAAAAAGATCCGGTATCACGTTTCAACGGTAATACCCCGTTCGCACCGAGCATTTTGATCTAGATTGTGACTGAGGTCGGCGACTACGCCGTGGTGCGACCTCTCTCAACCGTTTCAATCTTAACTGAAACGATGTTCAATCGCGATCGACTCAAGAGAGTTCTTGAAACTAGATCCAGTCATAAGAGAGATCCTACAATTCCACGCGCGTGAGAAAATACAAGATGGCTGCAGAACACGTGTTGGGCTATCAACAGAGAAATAAAAAAGACGATGACATCTGTCTCTCCAGATGTCTGTTTAGTATATGGCTTCTGTAGGTATATGGCAAGAAAAAGTATTTATTTCTAACCAAAACTTCCATTTTGTTTGTTGGTGTTCATGACTTATCGCGTAGTTATGTCAGTTTTATAATCGCGTGTAATAGCCAAGTTCTTCTCAAGTGGACTGCCTGTGCGAACCGCTCAACGTTTGTCTGGCGATAGTTACAATCCAGATTGTTAACAAATGAGATCGAAGTGAGTCGTGGATTGTGTGCGAACGTAGTATAAGTCTAGTTGCTCTGATACTATATCGTCAGTAGGTGATCAAAATTTCATATAAACTCCTCCCGAGAAATTTTTCGGGAAAAACATTTAACTTCTTCAGAACTCTGGTATTACCCTATGTTGGTTATTTATTTATGTACTGAACTCGAGACCTACAAGAGTTTTACAGATCACGGGAAACATGTTTCATTATCCACTAATGATGTAATTGAAATTTGAGTAAATATTGGCGTTACAAAGTTTTGATCACCGACCGATAATATGGCATCCTTTTGTGTACGTAAAACGATCGCACAATGGATATTTTGTTGACAGGTTTCGTAAAAACAAGCAATACTTCGGTCGGTGGTTGACAGTGATATGCCGTGACAAATGGAAAGTAAGCAATAGTAGTGTTCTTTGCAGTCGGTACTTTGAACCTAACTATTCTAAACACGGAACGGGGTACACCTATTTGCAAGAAACATCGGTTCCTACAAAGTTTGATTTTCCTTAGCATCTACAGAGATAGCCAGTAGTGCCACGAAGACCACTAAGGCAAACATCTTTGGCTAACATAGATGACGATATCTATGACAAGCGAAATGTGCAGCAACGAGTTGAAGCTCAAATTTCTCACTCACCATATCAGACAATCAGGCTCATCATGGTGTTTCTATAAGACCAAACTTGTTCATTTTAAAGGTTAATAAATTACGTTTATTGATGGGTTACTGCATTTGAAATATTCATATGGGGCTGTCCTTAAATTACCTCCGCATTTTTCTTGAAATTTTTACTCTCCCTCCCTTCTTGTCCCAGTTTTTTCAAGTTTCGGTATCCCCTCCCGTCTTCGGATGTCTAACAAAACTCGATCCCCCTTAAAAACTTTATCACATTATGAATGATAGATACCATAAGTACAAACGAAACAATAAATTTTGAAATAAATTAATAAAATGCATAAACTATAATTTTAATGAAATATGCGGACGTCCACTGAAGCCCCTCCCCTCTCTCTCTTCCAGTGTGGAAGTCATTTATGGACATCCCCTATGAACGGCTGTATATTGTCCAGTGCAGGCACTCCTCCATTTACAAGACTTCAGGAACCAATCATGTTCGTAAGTCGAGGCGCGCCTTATATCTTGTATTTTGTATTCCTTAATTTGGCGAAATTGTCCAGCCGATATGAAGATGTGAATGATAATTTACTATTAAAGATTAGTTTAATAATTTTCAGATATTTTGAATATTTCATTTATTATTTATCGGTTCTGCATATAACAGTCATGAAAATTGTGTATTTATGTGATGAACAGTCGTATCTGTATTAGGTATTTCTTGCAAGTGCGCAGCTTTCTGCCTTCAAGTGTCATGGCAGAAGCACATTCAATTCGCTTCAAAGATGGCGGAGCGGTTCGAGGTCTAGTAGTTATATATCGTTGGGACAGGTGCCGTATAATAGCTATGTATACCCGTGAAAAAGGACAGCTAATTAACGAATTAAAGAATCGATTTAATTTAATCAGGTGTCAGGCACCCGTTAATCATTAATGAAAAACTGATATTTAATGAGATTCGGAAAGGATATAACGCCGTACATATGGTTAAAAAAATTCGTAATGTGCATGGGGAAGATTTTCCTAAACTTCAAACGTGTCAAATATGGTTTAAAAAGTTTTACTGAGAATTAATTTTTAATCCTCAACATTATAATGTAAGCATTATGAAACAATTAAATGATTACTCACGATGGCAATCTCCATTTAATCCATTCCCAAAATATCCTTTTCGACAAAGGCAAGCATAATATCCCGTATGAGTTCCACATGTACACTGAGCATCTTTATCACAACAATCACCTCCTTCTGGACACAATCTCGAACAAGCCGAAGAATCTTGTGGCAAATAATTTCCAATGTGCAAATCTAAAAGATTAAACAATTTCAATTACTTTAAAATTAGAGCAACGATTAAGATCGACAATATTTGAAGAGTAAAAAAGTTAAGCACACGTCGATATGATACTTGAATTTTGAGACGTATTGAAATACAGTACTGTATTAGAATAAAAAAGCAATAGTTTTGGATTATTTTCCAATGTTGATAGTCTTTTAGATAAAATTAATTAAGAAAGAAGTGCGTATTAATATAAATAATTTGGGAGGTATTAATATAAATAATTTGGGTGTACAAGAAAACTATACAAGAGCGAATTTCAAAATCAAAGTTATTAAATTCATACATCATTAATATTCTCATGGTCATCCGTAGAGGGAAAAAATGGGGCACTTGCCTTCCCCTGCGATTGAGTAAAAAATTCCACAAATTATAAACATAAAAGTGATTGAAATGTATACTTACACCCTCGACCAAGAAACGCTTTGTCGGTCTTAAAAAGAACCCCCAAAATTAAATTCAGTAGAGCATCGATTATCCGACTCAATTGGGGATTGTGGTTGGTCGGATAACTGAAAAATCGGATAACCGAAAAAAATGAAAAAAATACATTATTAGTATAGTATATTAGTATATCCCATGTAATTAGTATATTAGTATATCGCTATTAACCAACTTGCATTGAATTTTCATCGATGTTAAGCCTAACAATTTCTTTTTAAAATAATAATCGTCGCTATCGTATCGTTAAAAATTATTTTATTGCTCACAAAACAAACAACCACTCATAATTAGAAAATTAAGTCTCGTTTCTTCTTTCTTTTCTTCTTTTTAGATGTTGATATGGAGATTTTAGCTCTTATAGGCTCTTTCTCCGACTAGACATATGGTTATGATCGCTATGCGACGGAAGAGCCAGCCGTATCCGAACGGCCTATACGCGCGCGCGGGAAATAATGCCTTCCGGGAAGACTTTTATGGGGAACTGGCCTCCTATTCAGTCGTTATTGGCAAGGAGAAAACCCGGAAAACTCCAAGCAGCCAGCCTGTCCGATCGCGGCGCGAACCCACGACCGAACTTCCCAGTGTTTAGGGTCTGGTCACCGCTATGAGCGGCAACGGAGACCACTCGCCCACTGGTGGGTCCCAGTGTTTAGGGTCTGGTCACCGCTATGAGCGGCAACGAAGACCACTCGCCCATTTAAGTCTCGTTTAAATTCTGGCCGCCCTTTAATGGTCGAGCCGTGTTGCCAGCTAAAACACGCAAAAATTTAACAAAAATAATATTAAAGTAGCCAAGACATAGCCAAATATTGTAGTGCCATATCACTAGCGGACATTTGAAATTTACCAACTAGAACGGTCGGTTAACCGATGTGACGGTTAATCGGAGGTCGGATAATCGATGCTCTACTGTAATTAATTTAAATAGAAATTTATTAATGTAATTATTTGTTTCAAAGCTTTGCCCTCTGAAAAAATATCTGCGGACGCTCATGCTAATACTGTATTTAAAATTAAATTCAGTAATGTTCACTTATGAATAAATTATAGTTTTCGAACTTTTAAAAAATAATAAAAAGTTAAGTGATTTGCATAAAAAATCTATAGTAATGCTATTATTGTGTTTTCTCCTACCTTCGTGCAATGCTCTTCTTGCTAAAGCTTCAAATTCTTCGAAGCTGTCCAGAATGTAGCTGTGTTCTTCGGGTGGATCAGACGCCATGTCATATAACTCTCGAACATTTCCGTTCTGAATTCCAAATGTAAATATACGAACACCTTCATCACGTAGCGTTTTAGCAGCCGGCCTAGGATCTCCTCCATTCGAATATCCATCTGTTATGAGGAATACAGCTTTGGTTGCAGTTTTACGAGCATGTTCCAGTACTTCCTGAAAGATTAAAAAAAAAAAAACATTAGTACATAGTACAGTAAATAAGATAGGGAAGTCCAAACTTGGCAGTCCATAATGGGCTCACCTATCTTATAAACAAGTATAATAAATAAAAAGTAATTAAAATAAGAAAATGTCATAGCACAAGAAGTAATAGTTGCATATGAAAATTGTTCATTTTAATGAAATTTCATGGAAAGTATAAATTCATAATGAATTCCAAAGTAAGTTAACAAGGTCAAATTCCTAATAAACCCAAATGACGTATTAACATGTTAAGCTGCTTCTAGCAAACAGATGATACAGTACTGCATTATTAGTCACTAGTCATGGGTTGCAGTGTGGAAGTTTCATTGTTATTCGTAAAACAGGCGGTTGTCTACATGTATTCAAAGAACATGAAAGTAAATCTTGGTAGGCTATTGTAAAAACTATCTATCTATATAATGTCTAATATATTTAGGAAGGGTAATAAAATATCAAGGCTGTGAATGATATTAAGGGAAAGAGTAGTCGTGTAGGCTACTGTACATATAAAGGAAAGGGGATATACTATATTCGTTAGAGCTAAGATATATTATTGTTACTTAAGGCACTATGGGTGTTCTAATAAGGCCCACTACAATAATGATGGACTTTAGTGAAAATTAAGAATGAGTTCATAATGAGTGCATTAGTTATTAGCCTGAGAATGTGAATGTATTTATTTTTCCGAAATGCGACCAAAGTTACGCAATTGCAGTTACGCAAATAAAGCAGGCAATTGAAGTCATTGAACTTCAATTGCCTGCCTTATTTGGACTGTGGTCCCTAAAAAAGGCCCATTATTCGAGGCATTTAAAAGAAATAATGCTTTCAGGCATTTGCTGAGTGATAACACTAATCACTGCTATGTACAGTGCTGTACATTATATATTTTGCTTACACGTAGTTCAATAAATATCTGTTTCAATCATTGTTGTTACGCCGCCTTATTTTTCCTTGCACTTTTAAATGTGTTAAATGAATCTTATTTGGGCAATGTACCTTATATATATTCAGAAATTGCTCTGGAAAATTTTTAAAATAACCATTCGCCAGTTCTTTTTTCGCCACTTCAAATTATTTATCGCCACCAATTTTATATACTATTGATAATTAATGCAAGCACGTAGCCTTATCAGTTTGAAGTCTGGAAAGCAAAATTAACATGTTAAACTGTCGCTTAAAAACAGGAATTATTTTTTGAATAATTTTTAATGAATAATACTGAATAACACATTTGATCTCAACTCTTAAACAGTATTTCAGAGGTCTGTCATGTCAAAATTTTTATGCTTTAGTCCAGCGGTTACCAACATTTCTGACCTCACGGACCACTAAATTCACAATTTTGAATTCCGCGGATCACTATCATAATTTTTTTAAACGATACAAACAACTATAGAATAACAATCATTGAAGCTGCATTTTCATCTTATTAATATGAAACTCACTTATTTATAACAAATTCGTGTAAAGTTTCTTGCTACTTGTTAGAAATAAGCTTTTGGATTTTTGGCTCTTTTCCACGAAGGACGATAATCGCACTCACATTACTTATTGTTGATTATTTAGTGCTTTATTGACATTATTAAAATTTTTATCGACGAGAATTATTTTTATAAATTTTTCAATCTGTCATCAAGATTTGTGATTCGTAACTTCATGATTTACTGATTCATAAGTTTCTTTGCTAATTTTTGCATTAAACGAAAGTAAATCTATTGTCAAATATCTTAAAGATGTTGCTAACTTTAAAAAATGCCCAATAACTATAGTAAATTTTGCTCTTGAATATATAAATATGGATTTGATTTTGTCTTCATGCTAACTTTAAACTGATTATAAAAATAAACGAGTTAAATTAGGCCTGCATAATAAATTAACTGGATGAAGGGTTTTAAAAATGATTTAATTGTATTTTATTTAGGCACTCGTCGAAGATCCACAATAAGATCCAATATAAAATTAGTTAAAAAGTCAATAAGAATTATGGAAAATATCTGTCTTCTTCATCGCAAAATAAATGCACGAACAGTTATTTCTAAACAGTTTTATGAGTAATTTCGTAATTTGTAATACTATTTGCGTCTAAAAAAGTAATTTCTTACTTGAATGCATCTCTTTATCAAATAGTCTGAAAGTAAAATAATTATAAATTGAATGGAGAAACAACGTAATGATTTTATACCCTACTTTATCCCTACTTTACGATAAAAAATACGTAATATGAGCCATCCTATACCCGTTAACATGTTGAGACTAACTTCGTGAAAATATAATTTGAACTATTTAGCACAATACAGAGACGACTTTAAAAATTTTAAGTCATAAAAGCGGAGTTTACTGTCTTTGCACCATACCACGAGTGAATTCATTATCATAGTAAATAAAAAATGTAATTTGTGACATTAATATTACAATGCATTTAAATTAAAAAAAAACAGAATTTAAAAAATAAATGACCTACTACAACTGAATTTAACAGAGATAAGGATATTAAACTTTTAAACATTAATCTATAAAAACGAATAGGTGTAATAACCTCCAAGAGGATAAAGGTAAAAAAGAAGAAAAGAGGCAGATGATGTTTTTTGATGGAATAAGATAATGCAACAGTTTATGCATGATCTGCTAAGGGAGGACTTTGTAAAACTGGCCCCTATTTAGGCGTTAGACACGCGAAGAAAACCCAGAAAACACCACAATACCACTGAGTATTAGTGTTTAGTGGTTTTATTCACTCCGGCTTTGGTGGATCCTTTAAAAAAATGACAAAGAATAAGATGAAGAAGCTAAAAATGATGACGGAAAAGAAGATGAAGATGAGAATGAGATGACGAAGATAATGCAGAAATACAAAATACGAATTGACATTCTAAGTGATCGAGATGAAGATTTCTCGTGAATTTTTTATACACACTACAAAAATAAATAAAATTTTATCTTCATGCTATAAAATTAATGATGGGTGTTTTATTAAAGCTACTGATCAAACAAACACTTGTTCCTCTCTTTCCCCCCTACAGACGAAAATTAAATTTAATACATTAATTTGGCTATGAAACCGAATCTGTAAGAAAACGTAGGAGGAAATGGAAAGTCAAATTAAAACGATGATCTTATCATAATATCACTTTCATTTAGGGAAATCTAATACGACCTCTACATTAATTTAAATATCTCAATTGACGTCATAATTTCACAATAGTTCATTTACGTCCCGAAAGTATTTAATTGCTAACATATGCCAATAAAAGGGAATTTTAAAAATGCTCATGAGTTCGATTATCGCGAAAAAAATAAAATTAGAAATCTTTGATCTTGCTGATCGTTTTTAATACCGCATATACGTAGATTAATGTAATGTTCATCTTACATTTTAATATGACACATTCTATTTAAAATTTTTTAAATATATTATATCTTAATATTTATATCTATATCTATATCTATATCTATATTATATATATAAAAATGGACATGTATGTCTCTATATCTCACTTTTTCGCCAAAACTACACATCGCACGTGAATGGTGTTTGTATGTGGTGGTAGCCCCAAGTCTCCATTCGTGCATAGGGGTGGTTGCGTCTCGATAGCTATAAGGGTGCGGGAGATATGAGGCTGAAAGTGGTTGAAAGTGGCTTTCTATTTCGAATGTTTTGTTCGAATTTGTTCGAATTAAATTCGAACATAAAATTCGAATATTGGTTCGATTATAGAACGATTGTAAACGTTCCAGAAACGTTGAAAATAGTTCGTTTGACTAAACGTAAAAATTCTCTAATTAGTCTGGAAACGGGGGACCTAATTCTTGCATTCTGTGAAAACGGGTAAGATTAGCTATAATGTAATTATCTTAATCTTCACTATCGTTACTTTTTGCCCAGCGAAGCGGGTCCTTGCAGCTAGATTCTAGATTACTTAGAAAAACAGTCTTTTATATATATAAAAAACTATACTATTACATACAAATAAAAACCCAGCGAAGCGGGATCTTGCAGCTAGTTATTTATATTTACGATTAGCATAAGAAATAAAATTAAGTTTCAGTCGAATGCGGAACTATTCGTTGCCACGACGATTTCTTAGCAGACGACAATTTTCCTCGTTGTCATGACAACGAGAAACATCGTCTGTTTTTTTTTCAGTTTTTACGGAAAAGCTTTATGAAATCGTTTATAGTTTATCGAGTGTCTGAACCACTTTAATTATTAAATTCGATTGCAAAACAACGGCGAAGGTAAGTATTTAATGACTATTATACTGATTTGCTACAATTAATGCATGCAAACTTATTTTTCAAACTAGTTTCGTCCTTATGATAAAAGTTAGGCCTAAGCACAGATCTCTTATAAACTCTTGTGCAGTACTTCATCAAATCGGTACATCAACTACAGATTTCACGAATTAGGAAGATTTTGAATTGACTATTTTGTGAAATTTCCATTTTATATTTTCCAATAAGACATCGAATTTTGTCAGTGGAGCATTATAGCTTCATGGGCAACCAGGCAAATTTATATCAGTGGGCCTCATGTACTGTGTTGACTTCAGACATTTTTCTTCGGCGGAATTTTTGGGAGGAAATATTCTGTTGTAAAAGATTGGTTTGGAGGCCCCCTGTTGACGGAGGTTCCAGGCAATTGCCCTTTTTTCTATAGGATAACGCGCCACTGACTTTCGAGTTATGGCTTAGAAAACGTTAGGGAAAGAATTATGTTAGTATAGCTATTGTCTTCTTGCTTGAAGGTTAATTAATGATATTTTATACTTCCTAATGATGTTTATTACGTACTCTATACATGTTACATTAAATCCCCGATTAAGATAGCCGGCTACATACGTACCGGTACACAGCGGCGGCCTTATCCATTGCGAGGCTCTGGGCGGCAGATCTTTGCGAGGCCCTTGTCCTTTGTGCAAAGTATGTGAATTGAAATAGTAGACACTTATTAATATTAATATATACTG